TGCCCGGGATGCCCGGCGGGGCCGGGGGCCGGCCGCCCCACGCGCCGCCTCCCGCTCCCTCCGCCAGCCCCCCTCACGCTCCGGCTCTTACCTTCCGGCTTGTTTTCGGCAGCCATTTCCCCTCCGCGCGCCACATCCTCCTCCTCCTCCTCGCGACCGGGACCCCGAGCGCGCGCCTCGTACCGCCGCCGCCGGCCCAGCCACCCCGCCGCCGCCGCGCACCCGGCCTGGCCCCGCCCCGCGACCCACGCACCGCTCCCATTGGCGTACCGGCCCGCCAGTCATCGCTGCCGCCGCCAATCGCCCGGCACCAGGGGCCTCACTACTCTCCGGGAGGAGCGGCCTATCCTCGCGGCCCATTGGCTGCTCTCCGCCCAACGGCATGGCGGGATTGGTCGAGATTCGACGCCCCCTCCCCACCCACTCCCAGAAAAGCCCGCCTTCCCGACCTAAACAAAGCCGCTCAGTGGTTAGAGCCCAAGACAGCTGACCAATAGATACGGCGCCGACACGGAATATTTCCTCGAGGCCGGGACTTAGCTTTTGGATTGGGCGTTGCTACAGTGTTTCCCAAGCCGCCCAGGCCAATCAAAGGGGGTTCCCGGAGCTCGGGAACGGCGAAGGGAAACCCCGCCCCTTAGCGTGACCGTCACGGGGAAGGCGCGCGCTCATTGGCTGACTGGGGCTTTTCCCGCGTGCTCCCGGGGCTGAAGGACGTTCCCGGGGAAACCACTCTGGGCGCGTGGGGGTCCCGACGGTGGCGGCAGCGCCGCGCCGGGGCGGGGTTCTCCGGGATCCCACAGCGTGTCGGAGCCGCTGAGGGCGCAGGCGCGGGCGCAGCCGAGGCCCGAGCTCCGACCTCAGTCCAGCGAGACGTCGTGGGCCCGTGGGCCTGTGGGCTACTGGGCTCGGCTGGCCGCCAGGAGGCGCTGTCGCGCCACGCTCCTCCGTCCCCCGCTTCCCTTCCCCAGGGGCGCCCGTACCCTAGGCTTGCTAGAGTGTAAGCTTCTCGAGGGCAGGCTCTGCTCTGTCCCCACCGCCTGGCACGCGGTAGGAGGTGTGGGGCAATGGCCTTGCGGTCAGGAAGACCAGCGTATCACTATCCAATGTAATCACAGCTGGCGTTGATGTGGCGCTTTAATAGTGGTTTGCAAAGCGAATTTTAAAAATATGATCTCATTCCATCCCGAAAATCATTCTGGGAGGTTTATTATACCCATTTTACAGATGAGGAAAGAGGCGGAAGTGAAGAGACTTGCTCAGCTAGTAAGTGACTGAGGCTGGGTTTGAACTGGGGTCTTCCTGCCTCCAGGGCCAAGACTCTCCACTCTACAATCTGTTATTTGGCCCCAGGCATGTCATTTAACAGCCTCAGTTTCCAATCCTGTAAAACGACGGGGTTGGGCTAGATGGCCTCTGAGGACCCTTTCAGCTGCTTGCTCCCTTCTCAGTTCCCCACGTTTTCTAAGGGTCTCCATCTGTGCCCTCTGCACTCTCCCCAGCTCCCCCAATTTTCACTGGTCAGCCTGTGGCCTTGGTCCTCCACCAACTTTCTTTCTGTTGGCTATCCTGTACCCTCTGCATCCTCCTCCGCTGCCCCAGCTTCCAATGCTGCCTCTTCAGCCAGCCTCACCCTCACCTCTGCTCTCCCCCGAGCCCTCTCTTTTTGTGGGCACTAGGGGCACTATGGGTTCCTTCGCCGCCCCCCCCCAATTCTAGCAGTTAATCTTGCACCCCTTACCCCCTCCTCACCTCGGACTACATTCTATCACCTTGCTTCATCCTGGCCCTGCCAGTGGTCCCAGATCTGTTTGTGGTACCCTCCCCCCAGCTGTATCTCTTCCAGTGCACATCCTCTCTCTCTTTTCACCTTACCCCCAAAGGTTTGCCAATTTTTTTCTAGGCAAGTAGCGGACTCCCAATTTCATTTTGTTCGGGCTTTCCATGTGACCCAACAAACAGTTGACTCATAAGCTCCTAAGTTAAGATGAGGCATGAGAATAAAGTAATATATGAAAAAATTAAATACATTACACTTAAGAGTGAACCAAGCAAAATGTAGGCATTTACTTTTAAAAAAGAAAAACCTCAAAATTTTCAAAGCCCATAGCGTCCACTTGATCTGTTGCAAGTGTTTTGCTCAAAAATTAATTGCCAAACTATATTGGGAGCTTTAATTGTTTTTCTTTAGTGCAGGGGAGGGTTCAGTCAGAGAAATAAGGGAAGCCTCTTTCCAGAAGTGATTGTAATATAAGACAAAAGGCATCGATAAAACATTTTTTTTTAAATAAAGTAGCAAGCTAGAAAGATTAACTTCAATTGCACAGAGGAATCCTAAGAAATAAAGCTTAGGATGGCAAGTGCATCCAGCATGAGGGGAAGAAATGAAAACAGTCACAAACTCTATCTGAAAATTCTTGCCACCTCAAGTAAAACAGTAAACACAGCAAATGGAGAGAATCCTAACTGCAAGGTGAGATGCCAACATACGGCACTTAAAATCAAAACACCTACCACCTTCAGAGCCACTCAAACATAATGCAGGTGGGCAGGTAATAGAGGAAAGAGAAATGAGGCTGCTGACTCTGGTAGTTAGAAAAGGAGGGGAAATTGAATTGAAGCAGTTTTCCATCCCCAACTATGTGGATGTATTTCTTCTCTTGTAACAATGAGAGCAGCTTCTTGTACTGCATATATCTATTCCCTCCCAGCCGTTAGTGGGAGTTAGCTGAATCAGTGAAAGAAAAGTCCCCTCCTAGACATTTTGGTGCTAGGGCTATACTGTCAATGTGTATTTAACTTGAAACGATAAAAACAGCCTCCTTTCTTACAGCAGATCATCTTTGTTTTTTTTTTCCCTAGTCTCCTCAAGTAGAAATTTCTCAAGTTTTCCAGAAATAAAGATGTTTCCCAAAATACTACATAAACTGCCGCCCACAAAGCTCTTGTTTTTAGCCTTAATGTTCTTTGAAGAATGAAAGAGATCATCCAGAAACCATCGCATGGAGGTGAATAGTAGTAATGACTGGATGAAATGTTACATTTATCTTCTAAAAAGATTTTTGAGTTCTCTTCCAGTGATCTCTGCAGTAACATTATTATTATTATCATTATTGATGAGGATCGTAATAAAGTTGTCACTGGATTTATTGCCGTAAATTGCAAATTGTCTAAACCAGTCTAAGTGGATTGGAAGAAGAGGAAAATGTGAACTGAACCTCTTTCAAACACTAGGATTCCCCAAAAAAGAGGATTTTGATGAATTTTTAAGTATTCATGACTGATTGTTCCTGTGCTATCGCCCAAGATATTGTGGCTGAGGACACGGTAGAGCCTATTAGTTTTTGACTTGGTTTTTTTGTTGCCTTTTTCTGGGCACTGCATTATAAAAAGATAATGGCCCTCAACTATGTTCCAGGCATTATACTGGGTGCTTAAGGGACTGACAAAGAAAAGGACAAACTCCCTTCCCTAACAGGAGGAATAATCTGATAGAAGAGATAATAGCTAACATTTATATAATGTTTTAAGATTTGCAAAGTGCTTTACAAATATTATCTCGTTTGATCCTTACAATAACCCTGGAAGGTGGGTGCTGTTATTGTCCCCTTTTCAGAGATGAGGAAACTGAGAGAGGTTCACTCATTTGCCCAGAGACACACAGCCTACTTTGTAGTTGAAATGGGATTTAAATTCAAATGACTTAAATTCAACGAACTCCTAGTCCATCACTCTGCACTATGGCGCCCCCTAGCCGCCTGTAACGCATGTAATACAAGTACAGTATATTTCTCTTCCTAAGTTACAACCTCTAGTTCTGATGGGTAACCTATAGGACCTGCTATGGTCAAAATAAAATCACCACTTCGGATCATAGATTTCTAGCTGGAAGGAACCTTGGAGATCAAACCCCCGTATTTCAATAGAGTAGGAAACTGGAGGCCAGAGAGAATAAGTGACTTAACTCCAAAGTCACATAGGTAATAACTAACAGAGCTGGAAATTGCCCCCAGGTCAAGTGGGGCAGTATATAGAGTGCAGAGCCTGAAGTCAGGAAGACTCATCTTTCCAAGTTCAAATCTGGCTTCAGCCACTAGCTCTGTGACCCTGGGCAAGTCATTTCACCCTGTTTGCCTCAGTCTCCTCATTTGTAAAATGAGCTGGAGAAGGAAATGGTAAACCACTCCAGGATCTCAAATAGGGTCACGAAAACTGAATAACAGCAACATCTGACTCCAAGTCCAAATCATTTTCCACTGCCTCACTTGATAGCCAAACTCTGGGTGATGACCTTCTCTGAATTTAGAGATTCTGGACTTCAGAGGACAGGTACTGCCTGTTGCTTATTATCAAACCTTTGCACCTAACTTGGTTTCCGAACGGCACAGTTTAAGAAAGATATTGGTAAGTTTGTAGAGTCTTCAGAGAACACAGAATAGCGAAGGACCTTGAATCCATGTTATCTAAGCAAAATGTTGAGCCTGGAGAAGATATGAGATGGAGAGAAAAGGCGTAGCCACTGTCATCTATTCAAAAAGCTACCAGGCTGAAGATTTGTTCAGTTAAGCCCCAGAGTACAATGGGTAGAGGTCGCAAAGAGCCTAATCTAGGCTTGATGTCGGGAAAAACTTCTTGTTAAAAGCTGTCCAGCGACAGCTAGGTGGCGCAGTGGATAGAATACCGGCCCTGGAGTCAGGAGGACCTGAGTTCAAATGTGGCCTCAAAACACATAATACTCACTAGCTGTGTAACTCAGGGCAAGTCACTTAACCTCAATTGCCTTATCCAAAAAAAAAAAAAAAAAAACTGTCCAAAGGGGCAGCTAGGTGGCGCAATGGATAAAGGCCTTGGAGTCAGAAGGACCTTAGTTCAAATCCAGCCTCAGACACTTGGCACTTACTAGCTGTGTGGCCCTGGGCAAGTCAGTTAACCCCAATTGCCTAAGCCAAAAAAAAAAAAAAACCATAAAAACTGTCCAAAAGTGGAAAGGGTTGCCTGAATAGGTAATAGGTTCCTTCCCATTTGAGGTCTTTGGGCAGTCTGGAAGACCGCTTCCCAGGTCTTTCATAGCAGAGAATTGCTTTCAGGTATAGACTGGACTTGTAACCATGGAGGTCCCTTTCATCTCTATGATTCTGTGACTAGAAAAGCCTTCAACCATCCAGGGTCACCTGTATGACCTCATCTGA